AATATGTACCAAACAGGCTCCTAATCAAATCATGAAACGGCTTTTATCAACCTTTACAAGTCGATCACCTTCGCTTCCAACGAACGCAAATCTAAGAAAAATCCTATACATACTCGGAGTTTTTGAGAGAGAGAGAGAGAAGGAACAATGGAGAGTGCATGGGGTAAACCAGGCGCTTGGGCTTTGGATTCCGAGGACAATGAGGTGGAGCTCCTCCACCAACACAAACAAGATTCTATTGACGGAAACTCCATTGGCAGCGCCGACGCGGCGGATTTCCCATCCCTTGCGGCCGCGGCGGCAACAAAGACCAAGAAAAAGAAGAAGGGCCAAACCCTGTCTCTACAGGAATTCACCAGTTACAGTGCCAACAAGGGCCCCACTCCTGATCAGCTTTTAAGCCTCCCCACCGCCCCCCGTCAGCGCTCTGCGGAGGAGCTTGATCGAAACCGGCTAGGTGGAGGATTTAGATCTTATGGGTCTTCGTATGACCGGCCGGCTAGGGATGAACAGCCGCGTCGACAGGGAGGTTTTGGTGGGGATTCGAATCGAGATTTTGCGCCTTCTAGGGCTGATGAGACGGATAATTGGGCTGTGGGGAAGAAATCGATTGTTAGTGATGGATTTGATGGAAGAAGGAGGGGAGATAGAGGAGGGTTTTTCTCGGATTCGCAAACTAGGGCTGATGATTCCGACGATTGGGGTTCTAAGAAGGTCTTTGTGCCCTCTGAGCCTCGGAGATATGAAAAAAGAGGTGGCTTTGGATTTGAATCTAATAATGATGGTGCTGATTCGGATAGTTGGGCCAGGAAAAGGGAGGAGGGACGGAGAAGTGGTGGTGCATTTGATAGTTTGAGAGATAGAACGGGCAGTCCCGATTCTGACACTTGGGGAAGGAAAAGAGAAGAGGGGACTGGAGGCAGTGCCAGTAGGCCGAGGTTGAATTTACAGCCAAGAACACTGCCTGTAGGCGAAGGGCAGAAGAGTGAAAACGGGAATGTATTGAAGCCCAAGGGAAATAATCCATTTGGAGAGGCGAGGCCGAGGGAGGAGGTGTTAAAGGAGAAGGGGCAAGATTTGAAAGAGATTGAGGAGAAGCTCGAGAGTATGAAGCTTAAGGAGGTTGCTGCAGGGTCCCCTAAAGGACTGGCGGCTTCGAAGAGGAGCTTTTGGAGTGGGAATGGGAGGGAGAGGTTGCATCAGGAGGATAGAGCTGACAGGACTTGGAGGATGCCCGAGTCTCTTAATTCTCGTCCCGAGAGGTTGGTGAACTAGGTTTTTACATCGAATGAATTCTGATGAATATCTGTTTTGATTGCTTTATTTTTGACAATTTGGATTGCGTTTTTGGTTCTACTTGCTTCTGATTTTGTACTCGAATTGTACTCGTGGCTACTGGTTGATCTGAATTATTTTCTTGGGGTGTTCTGTGAATGTGACAAAGCATTTCGAATAATATATGAGATACTGCTCATACATGTACACACGCACTCTTTAAAGTATATATCAGTGGTACTTACTAAACTGTTGATTCAAATATAACAGAATCTCTGCAAGCATTTGTAGCCAAATTCTGGTTTCTTTTCAAGTCACTTGTTTATGCTTGCTTACTGTGAAACTTACCAAGTTCCTGTTAGCCGAGCATTACAGTTTCTTGCCTGCTGATTCTTGTTGTCTGGATACGAATTTGTTTTAGTACCTCAAAGTTGAGATTTTGTTAGTTCATTTACAGTTTGCATTGGATATTGAGAGCAGTATTTAACCGATTCTTTCATCATTCTTTCTCAGTGTCAGTTGTTGCCTTCACCTCCCTATATCCTTATTAATTCCATTGTTATTTTCGGCAATCCATAAGCAACTTGCTGGTTCTACAAAACCTATTGACGGCTATGTTCAATTTCCTTCCAGACCAACAACCAGTCTATTTGATATACTCCCACTTGACCTAGCTGAGAAGGAACTTTTCTTTCTCATCTTCAATGACAATAATTGTTCATTGGTTTTGCATTTTTTTTTTCAAATTTCAATGGTAAAATTAATTTGTACTATAGAAAAAGTAACAATCCTGCTATATTTGCTTACATGTGCTGGTGAGGGGTGGAAGTTTGATTATTTTCTGTGAGTTGTTTTTCTGTGTTCACCTAATATTGTTGTTTTACTTTTTAGTATGCAATTTTTGTTCTTTATTTGATCTTATGGGCATCTGTCTAGTGGAGTACATTTTTCCTTTTTGAACTAATTTGAGCGAAAAAAGGAATTCTTTGATAAACACAATCATGGTATAAAAAGGCGGTAGTGAGGCTCGCCTTGAGGCCCGCTTCACTGTGAGGCGCATGTAGTATTCCTTGAGGCGGTATTTTTGAGGCTAAAAATATGAGGCTCACGCCTCTAAATCTGAGGCGCACGCCTCAAGGTG